GGCTAGAATACATGGTTTGAGCATAAATGAGCAAACAGAAGGTAGGTTCAGACACAGTCCACTAGACAGTATAATCACCATGCCAAGGTCATTTAGAATAGAGTTCTGTACTACTGACTGGACTTAAAGTGGAACTTTATCCAAAAGCAGAAGTTCCACTTTAATTCCTCCTCCCCCCTCTCCCTTCAATATTTGGAACATTTTTTTAATTTTTTTTTTTTGGGGGGGGGGGGGGGGGGGAGTACCTAGTTTTGAGAAGTACCTTCTCCCACTTTTACTCTAACCGCCTAGCTGATCAGAGCAGTAGTTCACCTCCCCCTCTCATCTCTGCCCACAGCGTCTTGGAAAGCAACACAGGTCCCAGGAGGCTGCGGGACAATTCACAGGACTCACTGCAAGGTGTCACAGCCAGCTTCCCACACTTAATATGCTGGCTCACCAGCAAAGAACTGCCCTGGGTGAGGACAGCACGGGATCCTTTGTGTGTTTGTTTTCAAAGTCAGCAGCTACAGTATTTGTAGTACTTATAGCTGCTGATTTGCCAGGTAAGTCTGCCATAGCGTGCTAGCAAGGGACCATTTTTTTTATTTGTGCGAGCACAACATTTCGGAGTCTCGCAGGACCCCTTCATCAGTCACGTCACATGACTGGTGAGGGGGTCCTGTGACCCCGGATCCTGCATTCACTATATCTTGTCTCCCACAGTACACAAAACATGGAAATGCGATTATTTTAGCACATATAAACTGCTAAATACCTTTCTCCTCAGCAGTTAGAGCAGTCTTGTGACTTCTATCAGTGTCCAGCTGAGCACTGGTTAAAGCTTGTAGGAGGAGTTTTCATTCTCTTCTCACTTCCCTATCAGATTGCATAATCCCTGACTGTCTGTCTGGACAGTGCTGATTGGCCCTGTGTTCATCACATGCACTCTCCCAAAGAAAAAGAAAAAACTCTCCAGCAATACACACCAAACTGAGCATGGCTAGAGTGTTCCTGAGGATGTGTTCTATCAGAAGATGAAATGGGGAACATGGAAGAAGGGGAGGATCAGAGAAGACAGGATCAAACAGCCTTTTTACACAATGCAGAGGATTAACCCCTTAAGTCCCACAGTGAGTATAACAAGCATGCTTTATTGCATATACAGACTGATTTTACTGTTGTGGTTTAGTAACACTTCCAACCCCCATTAACCACTAAAAGCCCAACTAAATCAGCAATTTGAGCCCTGATGACCTTACTCTGTTTAGAGAGATTTTCTATAAGTGAGGAACTGGGAATTAAAGTGATTCTAAAGGTTAATTTTTTTTTTTTTGTATAATAAGAAACATGTCTATACTTACCTGCTGTATGCAGTGGTTTTGCACAGAGCAGCCCAGATCCTCCTCTTCTCGTGGCCCTTGCAGGCTCTCCTGGCTCCTCCTGTTGGGTGCCCCCCACAGCAAGCAGCTTGCTATGGGGGCACCCGCTGCTCTGCGTGTCCATTCACACAAGGAGCCCTTGGCTTGGCCCCACCCTTCTCTCTCCTCATTGGCTGACTGACTGTTCTTGACAACGGCGGGAGCTTGCTGTCTAAGCCAATGAGGAGGCAGAGACCCAGGGCAGCCGAGGCTGTCATTCACATCGCTGGATCACGATGAGGCTCAGGGGCACTGCTGCACACAGAAGGTTTTTCACCTTCATGCATAGAATACAAGAAGTTAAGAAACCTTTCAGCCTTTACAACCACTTTAATCTTCCAGAGAGGAAACGGCAATAACAATTGGCAAGGGCTCTCACCCATTTACATGCTGTTAAAAATATTTTGGCTGGTTTCCATGTTTAGAACATGACCAGAGTCATGTTTTGCCAACTCCTACTATAACTTTTTAAGACAAGGTTAATATTGTTCAGTTGCTTTCAGTTGAGAAAAAGTACTTTGATAATGAGCCATGCAACCCATGTATGAGAGAGGATGCATTCTGCCACCTCTAGCAACTGTGGCAGCACCCAGATATGGCAGAGTTCCCCTTTAAACGTTAACATTTTGAATAGTTTCTGCTTGCAAAGCAGAGTTTTCAGCTTACTCTCCCCCTCCGTTATTTCCTGTGAGTAATGTGTACCAGCCTGTAGCTAGTACCCTTATCTGCAGCTGCTATTCAAGGATCTATTCTGCAGAGTTTAGAAAGACTTGTGAACGTATAGAAAGTGAAAGAGGGAAAATATGCATTATGATGTAATCATTGGTATATAGGTTTGTAAGAAGTAGATACAAGCCACTCGAGCTTTGCAGGCATGAGCCTGGTTGGGTCACTCAGCGCTGTTTTAATAAATAACTTGTTTTCCTTAAGTCCGTGTCCGGAGTTCCCTGGTTTTCCAAAATTGCTACTACACAACCAATCTGAATTTTGCTTTCATGTTTATTGTGTGGTATAGAAGAGTAAATGGACAATTCTTCTATCTACGGACAACTAGGTCAGTTCTTGCTTTCAGAATTGTAAAACTGCATGGGAAAGAGCTACAGTTTGTTCAGTTTTTACTGTTGCATTCCCATTGGGGAGGTTTATCCTCATTTCCTGTCTTGATGACAGATATCTCCAGGAGAGAAAATGAATGGATATCCACAACTGTACAGCTGTCAATAGAACATGCAGTAGAAATCTCATGAGGACACCTGTTAGTGACAACTGTCAATGGTGGGCTTTGCTTTTCCCTTCCCATTGTGTCTCTAGGACAGGAAGTGAAGAGAATTTTGTCCAGTGGGGCAATATAGGGTTGGGTTGCACTCATTGCATGTGACTGGATGTGCTTGTAGTGACCATAGCAGATGACACTGTGCAAACCACAATAAAAGGATGAAGAGACAGCAGCATTCAACTGAAGAGCCACATGTCACATAGATCAAATACGGCCATTGTATATGTGTCACCTTGAGTAAGGGATCCTGTGTAGCCCCAGTTGTGGGCTGTATTTGACCTATGTGACATTACACAAATAAGTGTGACTCTTCAGTGGAGTGCTAGTGACTCTTCAACCATCCACAAGCACTAATAAAACCTTCCCAACTCTCCTTCAAATCTAAACAAAAATGTTTTATCTAGAGATCTAATTTAACCACTTGCCCTCCAGAGCATTTATCCCCCTTCCTGACCAGGCCATTTTTTGCAATATTGCATTACTTTAATTGACAATTGCACGGTCATGCAATGCTGCACCCAAATGAAATTTACATCCTTTTTTCCCAACAAATTGAGCTTTCTTTCGGTGATATTTGATCACCTGTGTGTTTTTTCTATTTTGCACTATAAACAAAAATCGACAATTTTGAGAAAAAAACTATATTTTTTACTTTTTGCTATTAAACATGTCCTGTAAAAAAATTTAAAAAAATCTAATTTTGTCATAAGTTTAGGCCAAAATGTATTCTGCTCCATGTCTTTGCTAAAACAAATCTCAATACGTGTAAATTAATTGGTTTATGTGAAAGTTATAGCGCTTACAAATGGTAGTATAGATACTGGAATTTTTTTTTTTTTTTTGTACTAGTAATAGCATCGATCAGTGACTTATAGCAGGACTGCAGTAGGCCTTCTAACACTGGAGGGGAACTGACTTGTTGTCACTGACATCACCAATGACACTAATACAGTGATCAGTGCTAATAAAAAGCACTGACACTGTACTAATGGCACTGGGCAGGAAGGGGTTAATATCTGGGGAGATCAAAGGGTTAACCTTGTGCTGTTTCACTATTTGGGCTGTGTCTCACTGCAAGAACACTGGTTTGTATGGCTCAACATAATGCACTCACCAGAAGTAAGTAGCAAGCAAGACCAGAGCGGAATGACACTAAGGAGTGTTCCTGCTTGTTCCTCCTGCCGGTGACCCGGTTGAAGGTGGGATCTCTCCAGAAGCCAGTGATACACCAAATGAACAATCAAATGTAGAGTAGCCAAGTCTCCATCTCCAGCCCACGGTGAACCAAGGAAAGGGATTCCTCTTAGAGGGCAAGCTCATAGACCGAGCCCAGAGACAGTATCATATAGTTTAGTATGTTTTATTAAAAAGATAGCAACCACGTGGACAGGGGCGGACTGACAACTCATGGGGCCCCCAGGCAATAGAGGATCATGGGGCCCCTGTGTCCTTGCCCAAACTCAAAAAAGCCTATGAAAAAGGTACCAGGGGCATCTCATGGGGCCCCCTACTGACCCCGGGCCCTCAGGCAGTGCCCGAGTTTCCAAATGGTCAGTCCGCCCCTGCACGTGGAGCATAAAACCATCAATGGATAAAAACACTTACAAAGATGGCCACCGGACCATGTAGACGCGGCGGTGTGTGACGTCAGCATTTAGGCTCCTCTCTGACGCGTTTCGTGTACATACACACGTTCTCAAAGGGTTCCACCTTTGTTATAGGTATAATGCCTCCATTGGAGGATTTTCCGCACCTTCTTGCTCTGATGACAACTCAAAATTTTTTATATTTCCCCCCACAGCTAACACGAGGCAGCTGATCAGTGCAGTTGGATGAATCTGCAATGTCGGCTAATGTATTCTGACAGCCAGCCCCAGCTGTTTAGCTGGCAATTTTAAATCGAAGGTCATCGAGCTGGAGGATGCCAACAGGGACAACCACAAAGTTGGATCATCAGGAACTGGCTGAAGTTGGCTCAGTGGATGGAAGGCGTTAGTCATGGGGCCTTTGTGTCTTTGTCTATGAGTCAGAGAAGTGTATTACTACTGAAACAATGACAGCTGTAATATTGGAAACATTTAGAGGAACATACTATTTTCTTTGGGAAAGGTTGAGAGCTTAGTCACTTGACTGCTGTTTCCTCTACCAGAATATCTGTGTCTGCCAGCAGGCGTCTCTCGAGTCTAGCAGCTCGCTGTATAAACTGGATATGCAAGTTTTTAGAAAGATACCTCGCAGGCTTGCCCTGCCCTCTTCTCATATGATAAAAAGCATCCCTCAAGTCCCAACCAAACTTCACTCCGAAATATATTCCAACAGCAAACATGGCGTTTGTACCAGCTCCAGGCTACCAGTCTGCCTACAATCCCGTAAGTACTCAGCAACTATTACTATGCATGACATTAAATAAAATAGCTTAGACCCGAATTGGAGCCGTCCGCTTGGCAAAGATTCAACTTTACAATCCATTAAAAAATTCCAAAGCTAAGTAGCAGACATTCCACATATGAGAAGGAGCACTCACTAACAGGAAAACCCTAATATCCACAGAAGATGTAGAAGGCACAGAAACATGCCCCTCGGGATGATGCCACCACCTTCTATACATTAGTGGTCTTTCTGTTAAAGACATTTTTCTATTGTACCTTTCAATCTTTTTTCTTTTATTATGTTGCCTCTGATACTCCCAAACCAGTCCAAAGAAGACACAAACAGTGCATGTTTTCTAGATCTCCCTCAGGAAAGAATACAGATATAATATAGAATCCCTCAGGAATTAATACATTTGGTCTAGGATGTCAGTACAGGGGTGCAGAGGGGCGACCTTTGTGGATTGATATCGCCTGCAACCGCTCCCCTTTTTTGTTATCTCCCAATTGCGTACTCGCATTATAATCTGCACAGGATGAAGCGCCATTTCTGTTCGATCGCAGCCCTTTGCCCCTCCTATTATCTCATATTTGAGCCTCTATTCTCAAAAATCCTCCATTATAGAGTTAACATTGAAAATGTGCACAGTACATCATATTTGGATTTTGAGCCTTTTTAGGGAAATTCACTACATACAGTTTTAATCTCATTAATTTTTTTATTACATTAGTTTACTTCTTTTTTTTATTACAAATGTACACTACGTACCATGCTGAACTGAATCCCCAAAGAGTTTGTGTGTAGGTCCTTTACTCATAAATCTTGGCACCCCTATGGCTGTGTAAGACGAGTACTGTCACTGGCATGGAACAGAGCCGAGCACTGTACCCGGATTATCCCGTTTCTATGATATGTATTTTGTGCTTTATGCTTCTGGATTTAATACTTTTTCTGGATTAGTTTTGTGTAATATTCATTACATTTCAGACCAAGTAGTTGCATTTTCGTCTATCAGATAGGCATTAAGGCAGATTTTTATCTTCCCTCTTATTCAGTTGTGTAGGGTGTGTCCAAGAGAGTAGATGGAACATATTTGAGGTGTTGTAACTGGTATGACTAGGAGAAAAAAAATGAGAACAGAAAATCAGAGAGGGAAAGCAGTTTATAGAGTAAATTAACCCCTTATGCAAACAAAGGCTAAGAGCAGTTCACAGCAGCCAATGGTATATATTAACTTTTAGAAGTCCAATTGTATTCAAATTATTGCTGATTGTTTGCTATGCGTTGATGTACAAAAAGCATTCTGCGCTATTTTATACAGTAAATTTGTACTGAAGGAATTCTGGGGGGAGCCATTGCTGGCCTATTTCTGAAAATGCTAGTTGCCTGGCTGTCTGACCTCAGGACATTGAGACGCTGGTCTGAAACAACCAGGAATGTCAGAATGAAGCCAAAATTCTAAGGGCAAGATCACACCAGAACATGGTGCAGGAAACTCCTGCAATGCATTCAAAACGCACTGCACTTGTGATCTGCAGTGGGTGTCAGTGTTCACAACACCCCAAACACAGCAGGGGTTATTTACTAAAACTGCATGGTGCAAAATATGGTGCAGCTCTGCACAGAAACCAATCAGCTTCCAGGTTTTATTGTCATAGCTTAATTGAAGCTGAAATTACATGCTGATTGACTGCCATGCACAGCTGCACCAGATTCTGAGTACTCTAGTTTTAGTACCTTAGATTGTACGCTCCTTGAAGGTTAGGGACTGCTGTGAATGTACATTATTATTATTATACAGGATTTATAAAGCACCAACAGTTTGCTCAGCACTTTAAAATATAATGGGAGACAATACAGTAAAAATACAAGAGGGATAGGAGGGCCTGATCCTGGGAGCTTACAATCTAAGAGGGAGGGGCTGGTGGTACAAAAGGGAATAACTGTGGGGGATGGGCTGGTAGGAGGAATAGAAGATTCCATTATTAGCTGAGGGCAGGATAGGCTTCCCTGAAGAGATAGGTTTTCAGAGATCGCCTAAAAGTGAGTGAGTCTGATAAAGTCTGATAATTGGGGTAGAGAGTTCCAGAGGATGGGGGAAGCTCTGGAGAAGTCCTGGAGATGAGCAAGGGAGGAGGAGACTAGAGAGCAGGAGGTTGTGCGAGGAGCAGAGAGTACAGTTTGGGTGATATTTGGAGACAAGATCAGTGATGTAATTTGGGGCAGAGTTATCAATGGCTTTGTATGTTATTGTTAATGCATATATGTAAAGAGCTGCATAAATTGACGGCGCTATATTAGTACTTGTAATAATAATCGTAAATCTCCCCACAGAGTTTGTATGCACCAGATTGCATGGTACTTGGAATTTGTACTAGTAATGGCAGCAATCAGCGACTTATAGGGGGACTGCAGCGGGCATTCTGACACTGGGAGGAACGGACTTGGTGTCACTGACATCCCCAGTGACACCAATACAGTGATCAGAGCTAATAAAAAGCACTGACACTGTACTAATGACACTGGGCAGGAAGGGGTTAACATGTGGGGCAATCAAAGGGTTAACTGTGTGCTGGAGTACCATAGGAGACAAGGGAGCTAGAGAGTAGGGGTCGTGGGAGGAGCGGAGAGGACGGTTTGGGTGATATTTGGGAACAAGATCGGTGATGTAATTTGGGGCAGAGTTATCAATGGCTTTATATGTTCTTGTTAATGCATATATGTAAAGAGCTGCGTAAATTGACAGCGCTATATTAGTATTTGTAATAATAATCGTAAATCTCCCCACAGAGTTTGTATGCACCAGATTGCTGGGTACAGTAGTACCATGCAATCGGTTGCTGTGCATTTTTCAAAGCAGTGCATGCATTGGTGTGGTCTGGTGCAATTTTGGCCCATTCGAATGAATGGGCTAAAATTGCACTGCATCTGGATCCCATGTCAGTGGGAGGTAGGTCTTGTTAGTAGATTCTGGTCATTTTTACAGATAATAGACAATCTATTGGTAAAAAAGTATGGGAAGTTGGACAGCTCCTACAAATCCTATAATATTCTATATAATATAACTTGCCTGGGGAATGCCTTACAGCTGTATATATAGTTACAGAGCAGTAAGAAATTTACCGACAGTTACAGCAGCAGCGTACTCTGGCAGAGCATTTTTGCCTGTCGATTTTTCTCTGTTACATTAAGCTTGGCTTACATATAGCTTCAGTACCCCAATATGATTCATTTCAGCTTTAAGAATGTTTTTTTTCAAGTAGTTTTAGCATTGACACATGCTTTTTTTTAGCAGGCAGTAATAGGCCCTCTTTGACCAGCAGCTAGAAATTGATTATTGCTTAGCCGAGCCTATCCGTGTTCTTGTTGGTGCAAAACTGTCCTGATACTGGCCAATTTCTGCACCAATGTTACTATGCAAAAATTTGTATACCTGGAATTCAATTTAAAGGATAAGTTCACCTTTTCAAAGAAAAATAATGCACTTTTTTTGTTGGTAAACAAATTGGCATTTTCCTATTTTTTTTTTTTTTTGTTAGGAGCCTGTAATGGCAAAGTCCAGCAACCTGCCTGCATAGCTGTGTGCCCATACTTCTGATACAGAGAGGCAGTTATACAATGACAGGAAGCTCAATAAATTACCTACAGAGCTCAACAGGGCCCTGCTAGTTAAATGAGAACTACAACGTCTACAAGAACTACAGACGTCTGCAAAGGCTGTCAGTACTTGTAGTTTTTCAGTTCACAGAATACTGTGAATGAATGAAGCGGCCAGGCAGGCGGAGTCCCGCAGGGCCACATTTTTTTCAGATTGTGACAGCCAGCAGGGGGTGAAGTTCCCCCATTATCTGTGAAGACAGGGGATCGGGAGGAATGAAGGATGATACATCTGTAACATGTTATACCTGAATATGGGTGTAACATGCTACAAAAGGTAAACAAATCCTTTAAAAAGAATGGGTGTTAAGTATTATGAAATCTTAGCTGATGATTTTAGCAGATCTATGCATTTTATTCCTTGGTTACTTTTGGCCATGCAATCCACACAGGCTCAGCCTACAGCGGTGCGGTAAATCCCACATTCCCGCACCGTATTCCTGTACAAATCACATGCTATTTGTATGTGGTGCGATTAGAGATATACATTTTGTATGACTCAAATCGCATCGCATCCGCACCAAAAACATGCAGGACCCTTTTTTGGTCCACACTAGAATCGGATTGCATGGGTAATCACAACTATGTGATCCGATTCCGCACATTGCACCGTGTTTTGCAGACCGCTTTCGGGGTGTTGTTAACAGACACCCGCAGTGGTTCGCATGAACGGGGTGCGATTCTGATCTGGTGCGGAATTCGCACAGAAAATGCTGCAAATTCCGCACCGCATCAGTGTGCACAAGGGCTAAGCGTGTTTTTTTCTGCTGGGAAAACACTCCCAAAAACTTTCTGCTCCTAAATGCTGAAGCTTGAAAAACACTTCTAGCATAAAATAGTGTGCAGGGACACATAGGATAACACTGTTAGCTTCTAGGGGAGCAAAAAATGCACATAATAGCTTCTAGTTGCTTCAACCCCCAAAAAAAACGCTAGTGTACATGGAGCCTGATATGTGGATATTTGGTGGCTCACAATCATGGGGAGTCTGCTCCTACAGCCTGGGAAGAGAAGAGAAATTGTGAGCCTGCATCAGACTGCAACTTTGATTATACTGTACAGTATGCTTTTGGCATCAGTTGAAGATTATCTGAAAAGCATGATATCATTCAATATGGAAGAGGAGCAGAACATATATTAGTAGAGAAATACATTGGAAAGAAGGTGAGTATTGCAGTAAAAATGGCAGTTTTTTATTTTTACTTGTTAAGAAGTGCTGGGCTTTTTATTGATGCCTTAAAAATGGAGTTGGACTTTAAACTATCACTCATGACTGTTGGGGAAAATTAATTATTTTAGTAATAAACACAATAATGAGCAGCACCCCATGGATTTTACTTCT